GTCCTAGCTACTTGGGAGGCTGAGGCAGGAGACTCGCTTGAGCCCAGGAATTAGAGGTTACTGTGAGCTGTGATGCCAGAGTACTCTACCCAGGGTGACAGCTTGAGGCTCTGTCTCAAAAAACAAAGATTCTGTGATTTGTAATTGGTTAAGGAAATGAAGCTGTGTCTAAAGGTTTGGAATGTTAAGATAAGGAAGCCTGCCAATCAGAGACTAAATTAAAGACCTGCAGGTCTGGCCGTGGAGGTTTGTCTTGCACAGCCTTAGGCTTGTTAATAAGTTACAAAGGATGCTTAGTGCCTGTAGCACAGTGGTTACCACAGCCACATACACTGAGGCTGGCAGGTTCGAACCCAGCCCAGGACAGCTAAAGAATAATGACAACTGCAACAAGAAAAAAGTAGCCAGGCATTGTGGCGGGTGCCTGTCATCCCAGCTACTTGGGAGGCTGTGGCAAGAGAATCACTTAAGCCCAAGAGCTTGAGGTTGCTGTGAGCTGTGAAGCCATGGCACTCTACCGAGGGTGACATAGTGAGACTGTCTCAAAAAAAAAAAAAAAAAAAATGTTACAAAGGATATCTCCAAGCTGGGAGAGGAGCTTGGTGAGGTATGTCTGACCTTCCTTCTCTCAGCTAGCAATTTAGTTTTAGAGTATTTCTAGGATCCCCTTAGCTAGAGGGGGTCCGTTCATCTGGTTGGGGGCTTAAGATTTTATTTTAGTACACATCCCTATACTCCCACTGTTGCAGAAAGACGAGGTCCAACGGAGAGAAAGAACACCCAAACACCATGTTTATAAGAGGAAGGACTTTATTCACCCACCGGGAGTTTACAGTATAGAAGAATTTCAAATGGCTGTGCTCCCAGCTCCCGGACTGGCTTGGTCTTTCCCTTTTTATCTCCAGTCAAAAAGTTCCAACCCACAGGTACCCTTCTCATTGGCCTGTATGACTCAAGCAGGAAATGCTAGTCCAGCCCCACAGGATTTCAGTATTTTACAGAATGGAAATTTCCAAGTTAAGTTTACAAATTCCCAAGAGCTGAGTCACCATGGAGAGGACCCTGTAGGAGTATCCTTGAAGTCTTCTGGAGAAGACCTGTTCTCCTAGACCTCGCCCTTCTCAGGGATCCTCTCTCAGCACATGGGCTGAAACACCTACCACTGGATTTCAGCTTTGACTCCTATTAGACTACAGGCGACAGGGGGGCAGATTTTTCTACTTTCTTTCTTTCTTTTTGAGACGGAGCCTCAAGCTATCTCCCAGGGTAGAGTGCT